ATGTAAGAAGAGCTCTCTTGGGACACCTTGCTTTCAGACAGAACACAGGGAAATCCTTCTCCCCATTCTCCCCATAGCAGCACTTCCCTCCACAGCAAGGGCCAGGTAAATGCCCTGCATTGTGCAGGTGCTCTGTGGCATCCGGCTGTTTTTCTTCCTGTGCTCGCCAAGTACAAGACAAAAGCCCCAGCTGTCTTCTATGCAAGAAGAGAGAACAGAAGGAACTTTCCTATCTCTCCCCACATATCTTCTGGGAATATATTCCCACACAGATCTGATGGGAAACCAATTTCATCTTAAAAAATAAATAAAAAAATTAGGAAGCAATTATCACAGAAGTGAAATAGAAAAAGATAAGAAAGCTCACTATACTAACAATGTTTGAAAAGCAGACCTCTCACTCCTAATATAGCTTCTTCTGCCAGATGCTGTAATTAAGTCACATTTCCATGGCCGAGTTGCTTTTCTTGTCACGGAAATAATTATGTCATAACCATCAGGGGTCAGACGATGCATAAGCACCTACTCAAACCGGGAGCACTTGTCAAACAAAAACAGAACACGCACCTCCTATTTTCAAACAAACACAACAACTCTTAAACCCAGGCTACCGTTCAGGAAACAAAGTAACGTGCAGATAGCATGAAAAACAGAAACAATTAATAGATTCTTACGCAGATGCCACTATCACCTTAGCACCCCAGTCCCTCCCTAGAACCTAAGCCTGGATCTGATTATATTGTTTCTCTGCGTGTAACCAGCTCGTCCTCCTTTGACAGACCTAGAAACAACTTTAAAAGCCAGAAAGCCTCAGGTAATGTGACACATTCAGCCAACTGGCAAACTGCAACCTACTGCAAAAGCCCGAGAGTCGCTTACGTATTTGTACACGAGATAAGCCAACAAAAGAGCCCTAACAGAGGTAGAGGGATCTATGTGCATCGTTTCAGGCACACCACCGCGCACAGAAAGCAGAACCTCCGGTTTAGGCGAGTAACCGCAGGCAGGGGCACAGCTGGCGAGCACGGCCTGCCTCCCCCCCCCAGCATGTATTTAATCCTAGCCGAGAAGAACAACAACCTGCACGCACCCAGCTCCAGGAGGGATACGGCCCCAGCTCCCCGCGACAACCCCGACGCCGCGCCCAGCGACCCCGACCCCGCCACCAGCACCCCGCGGGCCGCCGAGTGCCGGGCACTGCGTGCCGTGCAGGGTGCCGAGGCCCCGCCGAGCCCCCCAGGCCCGCTTACCCCCGCCGCGCACGGGGGGAATGGGCAGAGCGCGCCCAGCTCCTCCTCGGAGTGATGTCCCCGGAGCCGGCGGCTGCCCCCGGAGCCCGGTACCTGGCTGCGGCCCTAGGGGTGCCGGGGCTGCGCCCCCGCCATGCCCGGCTCCGGCTGCTGGAGGCCCCGACGCCAGCGCCTCAGTCCGGCCCGGCCGCCATGTCAGCCGCGCGGTGCATTGTGGGACGCGGGCGGGCGGGGAGCGCCGGGCCGGCGGGTGGTGGGCACGGGCCGGTGCGTGCCAGCCCTGCTCGGGATCGCTCTGCCGGGGTTGAAGCCTCGCTTCCCACTCTGCGGCTGTTCCCGCACGCTACAGCAGCAGAGGGGAGTGAGGGAAGCAAGTGCTCCATTTTTTCCACTAGCCTACCCCCATTTTTATTTCTTTTTCCCCATTTTCTCTTTTTTTTCCCGTGCCGGGAGGGAACGCCCGCCCCCTCCCCGCGCAGACCTGCGGGGTTTAACAGCTGGTAGAGGTGTGCGAGAAACGTCTAGATTGGTGCTGAGGGACGTGTTTTAGTGAGGAAATAGCGGTGGTAGGCGGTCTTGTAGGTTGACTATGTGATCTCGGAGGTCTTTTCCAACCTTGCTGATTCTATGATGCACTTCGGTCCTTTGAGGATCTGCTCCTCTCCACAGCCTGGGCCTCAAAGCCATCCTTCCCCATTCCCCTGCTCTGCTCACTGATACTTGATGGAGGAATGCAAGCTCCACATAAAGCTCAACCTCTGCAGGCCTTTCCCATCGCTGGGATGCTGGGGGAAAGGGGACCCCAGCTCCCTGGCCTTGGCTACGAAGCTATCTCTGGCCACACCAAGGGACAGTACCTTGGCCAGCATGTCTGCTGGCACTTGGGCAGGTCTCAAGAGAGAAGGGCTGGCCTGCTGGGCTCTTGGCAGTGCTGCAGAGTGACCTAAAGGAATTGGCAAGTGTTTGAATAAAGCAAATATTTCAAGGACCCAGTACAGCGCTATCTCTCTTGGCAGGGAAACACCTTATTGGCACTGCCTAACCCTGGGTAAGGAGGCCTGTCCAGAAAAACAAGAGGTATAAGAGAGTGTTGTTGAACTATGGAAGAGGTTAAAAGGAAATTATTAAAAATAAATAATAGTGTTGAAAACACTAGCTTAGTCTGTAGGCAAATGAAAATTGCAAAATGTGTAATTCTGGATGCTATGAATACTGGCAAGATGTACCTTTGAAATGTATTGTTAATTCACTGGAATCCTTAGGGCTAATCTGCTTTTTCCTAGTTCACTTCAAGCTCAAATTTTACGAAATGAAGAACGGGTGCCTCCGTTTTGCTTCTGGGAGGTTGTGCAGAGCAGACCCTTAGGAACATGAGCCTAATCCAGTCAGCAGTGACAAAAATTGCAGTGCTGCAGTGCTGTCTGATGGCAGCTGAGGTCAGCTGGGTGGTGGCTTCAAATCAGCCCTATTAGACAAAGATATTGATTAGGTTTGGTAAGTCAAAAAGTAAATTGTAGAAATAACTAAATTTAACTTGCTGGTGGATGCAGTGCTCCTAAATCAATATTTAGACATGCTACTGAGCAAACAGGCACCAGTTTGCAAAATTGACTGGCATTTTTCCTACTAGCTGAACTTTATTAGAATATATCAGATTCTTTCAACAATTTAGTTCAAATACCTGGATAGACTTGAATAGAAAACATTAGTGCAATTTTACCATGAAAACTTAATCATTACAGAACCAAGTCACTGTGTGTATTCAGAAACAGTTCTGCATCCTCTGCAGAATTTTATTGCAGGGAATAGTAAAGAAACGTGGCAGTAAAAGAGGAAGTTGAATTTCACTGCCAGCTGGCCATCATTTAAAGAAATTGCAATTCAGTGCCACTGATCAAAACCCTTCAGATTCTGGCTGAGATTGTAAGAGAAAATGTAACTTGGAAAACAAGTGAATTTTGCATAGAAAACAGACAGTAAAGATGAGGCTGGAGGAAGCAGATTTTATAGAGTCCCTTTCCAGAGCAAAACCTTGCTTGTACCATGATGCCTTATTTGTTGTCCCATACCTAAACTGCTATATAGTCATATCTAAAAATAATGAAAACGTGTACTGAACGTTTCTTCTTGTTTTTCTGGAAAAAAAGAAAAAAAGTTATTTTCATTGTTGAAATGACTTTTTAAAACTGTTTTTGGAATTAATTAGTTTTAATTTCTTTATTTAAAAGCATAAAGCATTTTAAAGCCCTGATCTGCACCTTCAGCTGTCTCAGAGATTCTCTAAAGCTTTTGAGGTGATTTGTTTCTAAAGTGAGGAAATTGCACTTGGTTCATGGTCAGTGCTACAGGTAGGAAAATACACAGAAATACAGAACTTACCTGTGAAGATGAGATGAGAACTTCAGATTCTCAGCACAATGTATTTTCCCTATGGACAGCATGATGAAAGACTTTTCATCCATGTAGAACATTACATGATTTCTTGATGCTGGATGTCTGCTTAAGCTGAAATACAGAAAAGCATGCAAAATTTGAACTGGTTAAATAATCTCATTAAATCTTTCATCTAACCAAGGTTATTTTCCCCTTACAGTAATGCCACTTATGCTTGGACCACCTAACCAAATTTAATCAAGATGTCAAAGATCTACCAAAAAATCTACACAGTTTAAAAAAAAAAAAAAAAAAAAACAAAAAGCCAACACAGATTATTCCAAAATGTGATTTGCTCTTCAAAAGATGGATTTCCAATATGCCTTGGATGTACTAAATTGTTTTCTGTAAATCTCTACATTGTGCTTTTCTTTGCCAAGAAATAGCAGAGTCAGGCATGGAGGAACAGTTTTTTGGTCCAAGAAGAAATCAGTGACCATCAAATGCCTTCTAACGGTTGTTACTTTACATATACAAATTCTTTTCCCTCAGCAGACATCATAGAAAATGTTTGAAATTGGTATTTTTTCTTGTAGACAACCCAAGAGTGGCATCTGTACATTAATCCTTAGGCATTGGTGTGGCTCTGAAAACCTGAAAGCTTTGGTAACACGTTCAGCTCTTAATGCTTCTTAAAAGCTCCTTGGTAATGTTCTACCTCCTACATCACCCTGTCAGTCACTGCAAACCAAGTCCTCACAGAGAAGTTCCTGAAGGTCTCCTGAGCAGTGCTCCACTTCACATGGTTCTATGCATGGCATATTTGTAATTCTCAATTTCTGCTGACTGTATGCCATGACTCTTGCTCTGAGCACTTGTATCAGTAACCACTAGCAACCAAGCCACTGATATCCTCTGACATTACACCAGTTACTAGATGCTTATAGTTAGTATACTAAAAAAAAAATAAAAATGCTCTTGCAAGTCCATCAGAAAAAATCACAGAACTCCCTTATTTTCCTAGGACATAGTTAAAGAAAATCTGTTCATCTGACATTCCACAGATGCATACCATCTTGCTACTCTCGGGCCAAAGAACTAGCACTCAATTCAGGCTGTACCCATAAAAGGCCTCACTTGACACATCACTACGGCAAGGAAACACTCTCTTTTCGTATTTGGCTGCTCCATAAATACCTGCCCATGAGGTCTTGCATAGACACAGACTCTGTTAAATTATGGTTGAATTAGATGATCCTAGTGGTGCTTTCCAACCTTAAGGATTTTATGATTCTGTGCTCTTTGCAATATCCAGACTGTTGCAAAAGTTTCGTTTGCAGCAGTCTCTTCTTTCCGGCAGGGCTTTGCTTTTGTGGCAAGTGTTTGCAGCTTGGTCGTGCAGCATGCTAGATCCTGAGGGCAGTGTGGAGCACAAGCCTTCCTCTTCCTTCCCTAAAGTTTTTCTCATTCCTCTAGCCATGCTCCTTGCAATTACAGCACTCCTGCTCTTAGCATTTTCCACCACTCAGCAGAAAGAGACTGATTTTTACACTTTTAAAGTTGTAAATATCAGGGGCAAACTAGTATCTCTGGAGAAATACAGGGGCTCGGTAAGTGCACGCTCCTCGCATGTCTGTGGAAACCAAAGGGGGGAGGGAGAGGTTGGACATTAACCCGATGCATGCAGATAGATTTGCATTTGCAACTCTTGAACTGGAGTGTTGCCCGTGCTTGCTTTGATATCGCTCCGTAGGTCTTTGCACTCTTTAAATAAAGCGTTTGCAGGTCTCACCTCTGTGTGTCAGTGTGTTCCTTCTGCACGCTGCTCCCTGCATACGTGGCAAGCAGCGTTTGCCTGCACGCCTGTCCTTTATGCAGCAGGATGAATTGCACTGGATGGCAGCTATTAAACTTAAAGCACGTTATCTTTGTACATATTACTTTTGGAACTTATTTCTGCCTTTTAACTGCATGAGTTTTAGTAATTCTTTTTTTTTTTTTTCATGGATTCCATTCTTTTAAAGTTCTGCATTAAAAATGATAAAACTAATCAGTGGTTAATGGAGTTAACATTTCACCATAAGTAATACAGTGGTAAAAGATGAATGACTTATTGACAGTTATTTTTGTGTAAGAGCATTGTGAAAATGCAGCTCATCACGCTACATTCTACTTGTTGATTTTAGGATAACAACAAGATGAGCAAGAAAACATTTTTTATGATGTCTTTAAATTTCATTTAAATGTTACGTTAATGAGTTCTAGGCAGAGCTTACCAGTTTAAAAACAATTGTCCTGAATGTAATCTGATTGTTTTTCAGCCATTTGACAATCTGAGATGCTTAGTCTCAGTAAGAGTAAAGAGAGGTTAGAATAAGAAAAGGGGCATAAAGTTCTTGCAGATAGATTCAGAAATTAGAGAAAATAAAACAACGCAAAGCCCACAGCCTCCATCCTTAGCACTCAAGAGGAGCATCTTATGTGATGCTACCAAAAAAGGCAGGCACTGCTTTCACTTTCACTCTTAGCTTCAGCTCTGTGTTCCCACTGTCCTTTTCACCCTCCTCAGTTACTTCTCTCAGGTTATTGTGCCCACTGGTCCACAGTGGTGAGTCACTAAAACATTTGCAGGAAGACAAAAGAGGGCCCATAGAAAGAGGAATATATTTTCCTGAACAGCTGAGTAAAGAGAAATACTGGTGGATTTAAACCAAATGAGAGGCATTAAACTTTATCTGGTCAAAGTCCTCCTCCATTCACAATTCGGTTAGAAGACAGAGCAGAACTGGTCAAATGCACACTCAAATATCTGTCTCGGAAAAACATGCAGTCTATGCAATATTTGCTTTGTTTATAAAGAGTTCCTTCCAAAGTCTCTGTCAATAAAACCTGTCACAAGGCCATGTTTTTTCTACACATCATTTACTAATCTGTCTGAATAAGCAAATACCACCTGTAGCTTTACTTCAGAGCCAGAATCCACATAGAAAGGAGTAAAGGGGTGAAACTGGAGGCACTCTTTCCAGCCACCCTGCTGAGTTCTGTGGCTGTTTGCCCCCACCCCAGCATGTTGCTGAGCCTGCTCTGGTATCTCATGGCTGCACTAGAATTAGTGCGTGCATCTCTGTCTCCACTGGTGCTATGACAGCACACCATCCTCAAGGAGTAACAGGCTTTCTAAGGGAGAGATCTTGAGCCACACCTTGAAAAAGGTTAGCACCATCAGCGGTGTTCCTCCTTGATCTCTGCTAAGCCTTATGGAAGAACGCATTCTAAAACAGGTGATGACCAGCTTCTATGTGGAGCAAAAGATTGGCATTCAGAGATCCGATCAGTGTTCATTTCAACTGCTCTTTGGGAATGCACATGCAGAATTTTAAATTACTTCATAATAATGAGCCATTCCACTTTCTGCCATTGTGTCATCAGAGTTCAGTATCAAGGAAACAAAGGTTAAACACTTATTTCTTAGAATAAACCTTCTTAAATCTAGATAAGTAATATTAACATAAGGTTTATCATAATATTTTGAAGCAACTAAAAGAGCACAAGTAATATATCAGTGCTATGTATGTGCTGCTGGTAATAAAAAGTGAGCGTGGCACTAGTTAGCCTTTGGAACAAGTCTGCTAATTGCTGAACCAGCTTTTAACAGGATTAAGCTTTCTGGCGGATATAGAGGAAGCATTTCTTCAGCTCAGTCATTCAGCTAATTTATTTAAATAATTATTTAATTTGTAGTCTAGAAGCCAACCAAGAATTGAAAAAAATCAGGTTTCCAAAGGAGATCAAAAAAAGTCTGTAAATCCTAAAAACACAAGAGCCATGCTGAGTAGAAATAAACAGTGCAATTCATGACTTGCAGGTTCTTCAGTAACTCATTATTAATCTAAATTATGTATTCAGATCATGGGGATAATTGCTCTTACCAGGAAAAAAAGCGAGGCTGATTGATATTAATTCAACTTCCATTCCATTCAAGTGCATCTTGATACAAATTAGAAGTACCATTGATCATATAGTAAATAAGAAAAGTACTACTTACAATTCTGAAATACTCTTTTTTCCTGATGTAAATATGTACAGATATAACCTGTCCTCCACTTGAATAAAAACATTAAAAAGAGATGATGGAAGATTTTTCTTCCTGTGGGGATATAAGAAATACCATTTGCAGAATGCTAGAAGTTTACGTATGTGCTACAAATCCGGTCTGGTACTATACCTACCTGAAAGCAGAGGAGGAGAGCAATACTACAACTGAAAAAAAAAAAGTACCACAAGTGCAGTAGATCAAAAAGTTGGTTGTTTTACTCCATTGCATGAGAAGGTGATCATGCTATGCTTTGTCCAGACTACCATCTACTCCATCTACTTTAAACATGAGGAATAGTGATGATCAGTTGAAAAGAACCAATGGGATGCAGATAAGATTTGTTTTACCAGAACACCTGAAAGTTTAAGAAAGTTTATATTTTAAATTATCATCTCTATCAGACGTGCTCTAAGTATGAAGCAGTATTCTTTCCAAAAATACATCTGTCTGGGAGTTAGAAAGCTCACATCAGCTGTTCCCTGCTGTATTTATACTCATCCAGATGTTGGTACAACAGTACCAACCTGTCTGCCTTCCTGCCTACCACACAATACATACAGTGTGCTGGGGTGCAATATAGCACTGCTAGGACAGTTCTTTGGGAATCCTGAAGCAAAGGTACTATAATCTTCTAAAGCACTAGGCACTGCTACAACGTACAGCACTATTTTATTGTGGAAAGCAATGCCAGGCACCTTGCATCGTAGCTCTCTGCAGTCTGAGAATGCAGCATTATGGAACATGTATAAGTACTGGATATTGATACTTAACTACTGTACAAATAATTGCTATAATAATTGCTACTTTAATCCATGAAGGTAACAATTGAGTCAGCTTAATTTAACATTTGTAGCTGATCTTTTCATCAGCCAGATGGGGACAGTTAAGAACATAAGCATCTACCATTTCTGATAAAAGATCCACAAAGAAATACTTTAAAGGTGATAGCAGATTCTTAAACCTCTAGGGTACACTGTGTAAACATCAAGTAAACCAAGATCTGAATTTGCAGTGTTGAATAGATGAGTTCACTACTGGAATGCACAGGTTTCCTAAGGAAAGGATAATATTAAAAGACAACAGTTTATATAGAATTCAGATTAAATTGGTTTTGAAAGGTTCAGTTGAATTGTTGGCATTGCACACTAGGTGGTGTGCTTGACTTGCACTCTCAAAGCCTAAGGTGGGAGAAAAGTCAAAGGGAGTATTGAGTTTAATTTAAATCATTAATAGTTGTCAAAGTACAATCTCTTAATGAGAACAAGAAGAACAGCTGTTATTTATTAAAAGTAAACAAAAAATACTAGTTACCACATTTTGATCACTTGTGGTACCAGACAGAAACACTTAAGAGATAGCTTGGTAAAGGCTCTTAAATAATCATTCTATTCGAATACAATTTATGACAAGAATGCATCAAAAAATCATCGTGTCTCCTCAAAAACAAAAAAAGGAGAGGAGAGGAGAGGGAATGGGAAACAGAGAGGAGAGAAAATCCTTAATTATATGGCATATATTTAAATTTTCAAGTAGAGATCTTAAATGTAGTTTGAATGACTTCGGTGCTTTGAAAGTTAGCTAGATGGCTCCAGATAGTATTTCATGTGCAAGTTTAGAGGGATTGCTCAGTATTCTGTTGACACACTACAACACAAAGATTGCATCAGCTTCTACTTTAGAAGATCACCTTTCTGTTTTCCAGGGAAAACAAATAGGGCTGCTCGGAAAACACTTGAAATACAGCCACATACCTATACAAGGCAGAAAATGCACAACATGTTGATGTTTAACATAAGAAATTATAAACGCCAACTTCACCTTAGCTTTCTCTTTACTGCTTCCTGCACCTACAGGAACTTCACCCTATCATTCCATATCTTACCCAGATTATGAGCTTTTACCTGAGAGTTTGGGTTTGAGACTAACTGTTATTAGTAGTCCTGTATTTTTCATATATATATATATGAAAAATACAGGACTATATATATATATATATATATACGTATATATATATATATATACGTACATATATATTTTACTTTTTTTGCTGTGTATTTGCTGTGTAACTTGGATCAGGTCAATTAACACGTCCAGGCTTCAGGTTCCCCTTTTGCTGCTCTGGGCCCTTCAGCACTGCTGTCTCACACTGACAGTAACGAAGCCAACATGCCAGCTTCCATGAAGCTTCCTAACTATTGCAGGAAGATCGATGTGAATAGCTGCTGTTGGTGTAGCAATACTGGGGAACACACTGGCCATGATGACTGAATTCAAACTTTTTTTTTTGCAATTTAAAATGAAGCACCAACTTCTAGGCTGATGTATCATCTGTAGAAACCCACTGGTTTCAGTGTAAACTAGGTGGTATAATATTTGCATTGGCTGATTACTCTTAAAGAATGGTTTGAAAAAAGAATATAATGTAGTTATATGTAAAAAGTATAGTTATATGCACCGTAAGCTGCTTACTGCTACTTTTATTAACAAAAACATACTGTATCTAAAAGGTCTGCAATATTCAGCTTTATTCTACTCTTGAGAAAACTCTAAAATGGGCACATTCTTCACTGCTTTGGATCTGTAATTGGGGCAGTAACCTTCATATTTCATATGTTGCTATTCTGTCATAAATGAGTAGACAACCTAGAAATTGTGTGCATCCATTTATCATTGCCAGTACATCTACACTGGCAGTGATAAATGGATCAGCCAGCTCTATCTGAGTACTAAATTCTTTACAAGAAAAGATGTTGCACAACAGATAAATGGACAATCAGTAACAACCATTAATGTTGCAGATTTCTTTCAGGCAACTGAGTATTGCTCAGCTGAACGGTCACTTCTTAAGAATGCTTAGAAACTATCCAAAATGCAGAACAGAGCAGCTCTCCATAGAGTAGGCTCTCCATAACTGGAAATTAAGATTACTTAATAGTTTGTTGATTATCTTCACAGTTGCCCAGTGGTAATTCGTAAGAGAAATACATATTTTAAATCTTACTGTAGTGAACAAGATTTAATGCAGTTTCAAACATGAGTGTTCAGTCACAGTTCTGCAGAAAATCTCATTTTTTGACACTGAGCTGCATCCCAGCCTGTTTGTTGGAAAAATGACACGTGCAGCATTTTTTAATCTCTCATCCTCTTCTTCTTCAGGTGTCATTAGTTGTCAACGTTGCAAGTGAATGTGGGTTTACAGATAGTCACTACAAGGCCTTACAACAGTTACAGAAAGACCTCGGCCCATATCATTTCAACGTGCTGGCATTCCCATGCAATCAGTTTGGGCAGCAAGAACCAGACACCAACAAAGAAATAGAGAGTTTTGCACGAAAGACTTACGGTGCCTCCTTTCCTATGTTCAGCAAAGTTGCAGTCAGTGGAGCTGGTGCAATTCCTGCCTTCAAGTACTTAATTGGTGAGTAATCTGGAACAGCAATGTTTCCCCAGTGTAGAATTCCTGACACAGGATACTCTCTGATTAAAAAGAATGCCTATGACTGAGCACACAGCACCACAGCACAGAATAGTCAGAAGTCATTGAGTCCATCCTCCCGCACAAGGCAGGACTTCTATGTCACTACAGCAGGTTTGTCTAGCCTTTAAAAAATATTTCAAGGGATGAAGAACTCTACAATAACAAATGCCCAGTAAGAGCTAGTCACTTCTGTATTGAAATATTCTCCTACATGCATGCAACACCTGATCTTCATTTTTCCACTTTGTAATCTTTTAAGTGGTTCTCCTGTGATACAGCTGCTGCAGGTTGGATTTAAAGATTCAGCTAATGATCTTTAGGATAAGCAGAAGCAAAGTGCCTACATGATTTACTTCTTCACCAAAAAGTGAAACCAGCCACTAAGAGTTAATCTTGAATACTTCCTTCCTCATTCCTTACCAAACATTGCAACAGCCATACTGTACTGTTCTTCCAGTTGTGATCTGCATTATAGCTAAATGCTACTTGAAGAGGCTTTGTTCATTCTTGGCAGGCAGCTTACAAAATACACTGTAAAGCAGAATATTCTCTATCAAGACGCTTTTTCATTCACTGAACGAACACTCTAAAATACCATTTAAATGCCAGACTGAAATGACAGCCTTTATCTAATGCTAAAGAAATTACTTCCAGGAATTACCTATAATAAAGACCAAGATGACACAGTATCACAAGCTGCCAAGAACCATGCCACTTTTTATTCTCTCCGACACCACAATGTTCTCCCATACATCACCAAATTTAAGGGAGTTCCACTACTATTTTTGGCTACCTAAAGCAATCCTCCCCCCAGGTAGCTCTTTCTGCTAGAAAAAAATTCCCTTTAATTCTCTTCATGCTTTTCCATTTCTGTTTTTCCCTTTGAGGTTGTCACTACTGATGTGACCATGAAGCTTGCATTCCTTCCCTGTTTGCCCACACACAAAGGGAAGCTGCTGGAGTCACTAGGTTTACTGCAGCTTAACAACCAGTCAACCACGTAGGCCTGTCTGTATACTGAGAATACTCTGAAATATCTTTGGATCCCATATGAGATTTTTGTCTATTGTATAATCAGTGGAAAAATATGCTAATTTGTCTGTAGGGTCTGTACTTGTGCCTTTAGTGTAATGAGACTCCTTGTCTTACTCAAAATCCCGAACATTTCGTTAGATATGTAAAAGGCAGTAAAGGCTAAAAATACCTCTGTAGTGAAATGAATACATAGTCATGGAGTGAGAGAGTAGTATATGAGAATTAGCAGGAAACCTTTACCTTGTTACTTCTTCACACAGCATTTCTTGAAACATTTTTCTGAAGCATATAATACCAGGTGTTTGTGGAGGAAAAATTCTGGATAAGCAAACAACTTGTTGCTCCCAGTGCAGTTAGATTTTTTTTTTTTTTATATCCCAAATTCAGTCTTCAACTGTTTTAAACTATCCTTAGAGTAACATACACATGTCTCTCTCATGACTACAGTCCTTTCTTCTGTCTGTCTCAAGCTTGACTGTGCTTCCATCATTTGCCAGGGGACTAATATCTACTTAAATCTCCCTGTCAGACACCATTTTAACATTCACTCTGAACACCCTCTTTTTGATTTGACATTCCTCCTTCCTTTGGTAATCATCAGATTGGTACAAATAAGAACTGAAGAACTGGTTAACATGACTTTCTTTCATTTTTCCTTTTTTTTTTTTCCCCCCCTCCCTGTAGATTCTACAGGAGAAGAACCAACCTGGAACTTCTGGAAATACTTGGTAGACCCCAATGGGAAAGTAGTAAAGGCCTGGGACTCTACTGTCTCTGTTGAAGAAATAAGACCTCATATTACAGAACTTGTGAGGAAAATCATCCTGAAGAAAAAAGATGAATTATGACTTTCAAAATCACAGCAGGTCAATTACATCTTTATTGAGAATTAGGAATGCGCTCTGTCTTTTCACATTCCAAAAGAGAGAATATGCAGAAGAGAAAACATGACCAGTTGAATTGATATTCACCACCTTCAGAATGCAAAAAACAGAAATTTAAAATTTAATCACTTTTTAATTTCATTATTGCTATCCCCAAATATTTTCTATTTGGCCCTTCCAAGAAAGAAGGTTGCATCAGCAACTTTTTGATTCCCAATTCAAATTACTGCCAGTTTGTAACACTACACAAAGCCAGTTAACATACCTCTAGCAAACAGGCTCACAGTAACAAGAATTTCCCAGCTGGAATATTTCTCAAATCTAAAATTCTGTTGTCATATTTTGATCACTATCTAAATGAAAAAGAATAAAAAGTGTGTGAGTGATTTAAGGCATGTGTTAGGAAGAGGACAAAAAATAGATATGTCTCGTCCAAACCAACTTCACTGTATGTTTTTCTAATTATGAAGGTCAAACATTTCACTGGAAGGTCAGTTGTCAAGGGCCTGAGGAAAACACATCCATGAAACTTAAAAGTAACAGAATACAAAGCCTCTGTAAAAACTCTCCAAAAGCTGTAAGATCTCAGCATTTTTTCATCCAATAAGGATTATCAGATAACATAAAAAGCCATCGGAACATCTGGAGGACGAGAGCCTATCTGGGATGGCAGTTGCTTTCTTTTAGCAGCACTGTGGCTTAGAAGACTTACTCTCACCTCCAATAATTGATTCTAAGTTTATTTTGGAATTTATAACACCATCTGATTCGGCTGCACGTACAAACACTAGAGAATTAGCATTTTCCTATGAAGCACATTTTCCAAACATTTGACTGTTGCATAATGCTATATTATTCAATGTTGCAAATGTTTAGTTGTACCCTTGTTTCAAAGGTAGCACTCAGGCACCTATTCAAACTTCACACTGCAGAGGTTATTAGTGCATACTGAAATAATAACAATAATAATTACAGCCCATTGTTCTCTGACAGAAATCCACTGAAAATCTTGTCAGCAAGAACTCTTTTCATCAATAAAAACACAATGTACAGGTCCTTTGCTTTTAAACTCAGGAAGAAGCCGGTCTTGTCCAATGGCAGCGCTATTGATAATTGAAAGCCTTTTTGGTGCTTTGTAATGCTTTTTAAAGTAGCAAAAACAGTATTTGTCCATGCAGTTGTCAGGGCTCGAGTACATAAATAAGCCTTAATTGCTCTGGCCATGGTACGAACTTATAATGGCATGATGAGCTGGAATAGCTCTTCAGCATGCAAACAGTCTTCAGCTGAAATCAAAGGCAAGCATTACGGCATGCACTGGCTTGCAGAAAAAAAAAAGGGGGAAAATGGAGTACTGAAGAACTATTGGAAATAAAAGAATTGATCTCAGAGTCCATTACAATCCCATGCTTTAACAGCTGCTCACTTCTGAGGTCTTGGACACATGACATAGCCTGGCCTAAGGAAGAAAAAGGCTGGAGATGTTTTACGGTTTGAAGAATGGCTCTGAGGGGCAGAGATTGTACAGTACAAAGCAAGCTGAATTTCCCTGAAAGAATGCAAGGGTCAGGTGTGGGGGTTTTAATTTTTAGTTGGGGGTGGTAGGAAAAAAAAAAAAGATGTGAGAAAACAAAAGGAAGAAGTAACAGAAGTACAAAAGAGAAAAAAAAAAAAAAAAAGGAGATCACGTAAGAAAGAAAAAATGGGAAAGAAATGAAAAGACAGTTTGTAATCAAAGATTCTTTGGGAAAAATGGAGGATGGAAACGTTCAGTTATATTGAAACTAATGAGCATACTCCAAGCTATATCAGCTAATTCTCTCTTGGAGCATAGCTTCAGAACAGGAAATCGCTGCAAGTGGCAGTGAACATGTCTCTATTTTCCTCTGATGGAGAGGAAAGTGGATGCCACCATCCATTCAGTCATTCAGTCTATGCTTACATCAATCACTCAGGACAGCTGCTACAAAGTAAAGTGACAAGAGCAGAATCAGACTAGGCCAGCAGTGTGCTGGGACAAAGAACCCAACTATTAGGAAAGGAGCTCTTATGATTATAGTTATTTATCTTTTCTGTCCACTTATGCCAACACAGTGCTCTAACACGCTGTTAGCAGAAAGCAAGAACCAGAAGTATTTTCCATAGAACAGATGTTTCTATTAGCTGAAGCCCTGATGAGCTCAGATTGTGCTTTGCAAGACATTTTAAGCCCTCTTTATTTCGATTCACGATGTCCAACCTGTGGAAAGTGAAAGTATTGTTTCTGCATTGAACATTGAAAAGGGCAATTGATCTAAAGAATTAACCTGTAACATATCCTTAGAAATAGCTGATGTGGAAAGTAAGAATACCATATACATGTTAGTAACATATTTTAGAAACACAGTTACCGAATTACCTAACAAATACTTTCTCACAAAGCTGCAATAGATTCTGAATGTTCTAATCGATGTGGGTATAGTATTCTGAACTAGGAAATATATTGTAAGGTCATTCATTAGACTGGCAGAAGCAAAATACATTTAATAAACATTCAAGGAGTCAGGGTCTTTACACAAAGCAGAACTGTCCCACCTTGTGGGAATGTTAGGATGCCATAGACAGGCTCCAAGATACTGCCCTCTATCCTCATTCCGAGCTTATCTCTAGGCAAGGACAGATGAATGACCAGAACAATGACCCAGTGTGAAAGGGCACAAATGTTAGGGGGTAATTAAACGATTGAGGCTATGCCTATTTTTACGTTGTAAAACTGACATCTGAAAAGTTACAACCAAACATTTGTTAAGAAAGCAATTGTTAGAAGTCAATTAAACAATTAAGACATTTGTGTTTGGGCGGCAAAGATTTGTGTCTACTTGGTGTTTGCATGATTGGTGAAGCGTCAGGAAAGAGTGTGAACCTGCAGTACTCAGCCAATGTGGAACCAGGGGAGAAAGAGATCAGCGGTGGGCAACAGGGGATAAAAGATGGAACACTGTTTTCCGGAGGCTCTCCTGCTTGCAGGAGGCCTGCCATTGCAACTGCAAATAAAATCTGCTTTATCAGAGAAACTGTCCTAGAAAATCATTTGGATATTTCCAACAAACTTCAAATAGACAGCTGGGCTTAAGTGTGGTCTTGCATTCCCTATACTGTAATATATATAGTACTGAAAGCCTAAAAAGATGTCATGTCAATGACCAGTTGGAAAGAGTTCATTCTACATGGACAAATAATCTCTTTAAAGAAGAGATTAAAGGCATTACAAAGCAAGGGAAGAAAAGCTTTCCCTCATCAATAACACTGCAATTGGACAGGACTAGATTCTTCTTAAAGCATCCTAGGGTTAAGAGCAGGGGACCTGTACATTGTGTTTTTGCTGAGGTAAAAATAACTTTTGCTGACAAGATTTTCAAAGGGTTTCTGTCAAAGAACAGTGAGGCTGTAATTGTTGATGTTATTTCAGTAGGAGCTAAGAAATTCTGCAGTGTGAAGTCTGAGCAGACACCTGAGTGTTATGAACAATATGGGGTTGGTGCTGTTCTTAACAAATTGCCAATTTAAAGAGAATTATATTACAAATGCAGGCTTTGAAATGTGAACAGGTACATGGCTTTCAGCACACGAATACTCTCTCTGAAGTTAGCAAACATTTTATGATTGAGCACGTGGCATGTATTCCACCTGGAATTCTAGCCTGCAGAACAAATGTTTTGGTCTTTTAATGAAAGCTACAGAGGAAAAGTAAATATTCTTGGCTGCAGATTAGTTTACATCTAGTTCTTCATGACTACCTGCTCCAAAAAAAAATTGCAAACAAAATTGTGCTGGCGTGTTGAGACTACTTGTCATCATGCAGAGATCTGAAATTACTTTTTTCCTCCAGCAGGTCCTGAAAACTGTACAGCAGCACTGAATTTATAGCATGAGACTAGCTGCTTTGCAGCCTGTCTGCTTTACAGAGAAAATAGGAGTTTGCCTTAACAGATAAGCATTGATGCATGGAGAGAGATTATGTTGATAACTTAAGACTTGATCTCCTACAGCTTGCAAATCTGAAGGTGTAAACTCTTTGCAAGCCAATTTAAATGTTAAACTAACCACATAGACTCATGACTGTGCTCAGTCACATATCCCCCAGGGCATGCCAGAGAAGAAAGAAGTCACTTGAAGGCCTAGGTATGATATTAAAAATCAGACAAGACCATTTCAAAGTTCCAGAAGTTTGTCTCACAAAGCACGGAAAATCAGGCCTGCATATATTCCAAACAGTTATGAAATGGAATATATTACATTGAAACAAAACAATGGAGCAGAGCATTATAATGAGATCAACACTAAGCAGCCTAGTTACCCTTGTATCTACCTCTGGTATTTTTGTTATACGCTAATGATGTTTCACTCAAGTTATTCTGGTCTGAAATACCATTAGCAAACCAAAAAATTTCTCTCTTGAATGGTACCAAGTTCATCGTTAGAAACAAATTAGCATCCACTTCAATAACTAGCTGAACATAGTACTTTTCAAAGACTAGAAAGCCATATGATTAAGCAAAAGCAAATTTTACTCTATCTTCAATTCTTGAATCAACCAATGGCAATTGGACAGATCAATACAATGGGAAAAGGGTGTTTCACCAGAGGGGAATTGACAGAAGGACAAGCACAATAGAAAGGTGCTATAAGGGAAGGGAAGAAGATTGCTCACCTGTATCACAAGATTCCAGGTTTGCAGGAGAAAGCTCCACCAAAGATCCCTCCCCAGATGCAGTCAGCCCTTAAACGAGGTCTCAGAGATTTGCAGCCAGGCTCCACCCATTCCGGTCTCACAGCTGAATTGCCTTCACCTGTGCATCCAAGGCTGACCAGGTCCATTCCCCAGGTGCTCAATCAGTGGCTTAGGCTGTGACTCAGCAGTTCCCACACACAACCAAATATGCATGTAAATGTATACTGCAGCTATTCATAGAGCCAAATGAAACTTAACAAGCTTATGTCTGACTCATTCGTGGAAGGAGTTGAGTTAGCAGACAAATCAGGTGCTCTCTGTGACACAGTATTAATACACTCTGGAGTAAAAACATCACTGGCAAAACAGGAAAGAGCTTGCAAACACACTGATGGAAGAGGCGCTAAAAACACAGATCTAAAAACTAATTCTGAACCACACTAAAGCTACACAGCAGACACACGTGGAATGGAAGGAAATCCTTGAACTACATCTTAAAGTTTACCATTCAGTGAAGACTGTATGAACTAATACTACATAGCTGACTCACCCATCTAGCCAGCTCACAAACATAGTGCTGCCTATAGCGTAGGATCAGCAATAACAAAATTCAACTCCACTTCTCATCTTTTACATCATTTATGCCAGCTTTGAAGCAGAAAGGTAGAGGCAACAGTGGGGAGCTGCCTAGTGATAATGGCTAACATTTGCCAGCTGTCTCTACCCTGGAGCTGAAGCTAGAACCAAGTAACTTTCCTTTCTTAGCCTAGAAAACTTGACCCAAACTGTCAATCTACAGACTTAGGAAAGGCATGGTGTTATATCTCAGAGCACTGCAAGATATCGTGTTTGACAAGAACAACTTTCAAACTAAAGCTAGAAAATGAAAGCAGTTGCAGGATTACTGTATTTTAAATAAGCAGATTTGTATTCTGAAAGGTAGGGATAGCATGAGAGTTCTGAGATGAAGCTGCCTACACAGACTCTTTTCTCTCTGTTCAGAAATAGCAGCATCAACAGAACCAGGGCCAGATTCTTTCCTAAGCACGAATTGATGGAGTTAGAACAGTAAAAGAACTAATGTTCTGTAGTGATAGGAAAGTACAATTTTTAGGAGAACTAACTTCTGTAAGATCTGCTATATAAATGGAATACAAGAGACAGAAATTAGAGAAATATTACCTTCATGGAGCTGCAGTTTTAGTTTTCTTGAATTAAAGACAGTGAGAAAGCTATTACTAGATTAGATCAAATAGTCCTATGTCTTTTTTCCCCTTTCTCTAAAAGCACAGCTGTTTCATCATAATTGTGTTCATCTGAATTGTGATACCACTGTATTTCTAATCAAGTAAACACATGAATCCAACAATGATAAATGAAGAAAAGCTGTAGAGGAAAATGTCTGTAATCCACAAATTGTTTCTCCATCTTCTAAAAAAGGGCAGAAGAGTCAAATTATTCTCATAATTAAAGTGCCTATAGTACAAATCGGTTTTTCTAACCTTTCAGTAGAGTAAAACCACTCAGATTTTTTTTTTAACTCTTTCTATACTGAAAACATTTATTTTATTAGTGCTAATTTATTGTTCTCTCAAAGGTGTACCACTAAGCATTAGAGATGCACAGTAAAATGCTTTCCTGTCACATAAGCATTTTAAATTTGGAGTCTCCTCCTCCAGATGAGAACAGAATATCCCTATCTTGAGTTTTGAAGCAGAAGTAGCCCCCACGCAATCAATTTGGTTCAGGTGAAAATTTTTGCTTGGATAAAATCAATGAGAGATGTTTCAAGGTTGATGTTCAAATATTCAAGTGTTCAAAAATATGCAGAAAATGTAAGAAAAAATTATTTCACGCCAAGAAATAGAATCTAGATGTCAATAAAGAGAGCTTTGATGACTTTAAAACTCAAAAGTAGGTATGGGGAATTTGGTCAGAACTGATTTTTCCCCATATATTTCAGACTGGGGAACAGCTCGGTTATGAAAGAACTGCTCATTTCTCATAACAAAATTCTCTTTAAAAGAAACTCCTGCTATCCTGAGAGATGCCCAATCTATTCAGCAAATGGCTGTGCTGAAGTGAACAGGAATAAATCATTGAGTAAAATTGCAAGATCAAACCACTGAATTATATGAATCATTTAATCTTACTGAATACTGGAAATTGCAAGACACCAATTGTAGTTGTTAACTGCATGCATGGGAGATATATTTTGTCAAAATTGAGATTAAGAAACCAGGGACCAAAAGTTCATAGAGCTCTAGAAAACAAAAATATTTCAGAGAACTCACTTAAAAGTTATTGTAATATGAGTAATCCATGCCATAAACATGTAACACTATAATTCTTATAATCTAGATATATATTTTTTAATAGATGGCCAGCTGATACGGATAAATCTTTCCCAAGTTTCAGGTCTGAAGCTGTTTGCAACAAAAAGGTATGATTGCATCTGCAGATAGAAAGTTCAGAGAAAATTATTTCAGTGCTTAAGGAAGATGGGAGAGAGAGACATTCTTTTGTTATCAGTCACAACTAAAGAGCAAGTAATTAATTTATATTAAAAAATAATAATAACAAAAAGCAGTAATTACTCCAAGGATAAAAATGGATGTATAATCATCCATTTATTAGAAACAAGCTTGTGAATTTCCACATCAGCCTGGAAATACCTCTCCCTTTGATTACTTAATCTGCTCTGGTTGAGTTCTCTGTCAATTCTACCTGTGAAGATAAAAGTTCATTGCTTTTCCAGTCTCCTACCTCTGACCATTTCTTTTGGTTCTTCCCCTGATGCCTCTTTCTGACCTAATTTAAGTTCAAAGCCTCAATTAATGAAGTATGAAAGTATTATGCCTATTAAAGTCTATTCTTAAAATGCCATTTAGCAGGTCAAACACAATAGATCAAAGGAGGAAAAGGGGTCCAATGGAAAGCATAGTAATTCAAAGACATTCCTATTTTGTCTTTTTTGTGGTTTTGTTCATAATCAGTATTTTTTTTTTTTCCTTTCTCTAATAAAAGTAGGGCAAAAGACTGTAAAAAAGATGTTCATGATGCTTCTGTTGGCAATGTTTTGAACAAGAATATATGTCTTTACACAGGATGGAAAAGGCTGTAGTGCCAATTGCATTTTAGCACAACAGACTACTATCACTTGGTGGAATCATACTGACTTGGCTCTCAAAAATGCTCTCACCATACTTTTGTGCCACCCTCCATCTCCACTTATGTTAGAAAAAAACATTCCACTGATGTAGCCAAAATTCAGTTGACCAACATCAAAGCAAAACAATTTTTCATGAGTCTGTCCTAATACATGTTCTTCCTAAAGTTCTATACCAGATACCTGAGCTCCATAACTGCTACAGATGACAGCATCAAGTAAAAATGACCTTATTTTATGGTACTTTTTTTTCCCTGTTTGTTTTATATTCTTCAAAACATCATTTCTAAGCACTTTAATATCTATTGAAAATCCCCCTGAAGAATTCTGATTTAAAACAACATCCAATATCTTCAAAATCTCTAGTCTGTCACTCCGAGCAATTCCACCCATTCAGCTCCCTAGTAAACAAATGCTTTGATAAGGAGGGACACAAATTAAAAGACAACAATCACATGCCTTAATTGAACATTATTATATTCAGTGGTACCCAGTGACGAGATATTCAGATAGAACCTTGTGTGTCCCAGTTTATGCCCACTGGGAAATACTTTCTTTTTTTACTGAGCACAGACACATGTTGCCCAGAGAGGTTGTGCAGTCTCCCATCTGGAGATCTTAAGTTATCTGTACATGGTTGTGGTCAACCAGCTCCAAGTAGCCCTACTAGAGCAGAGGGATTGGACCAGGTGACCTCTAGAGGTCTCTTCCAACCTCATCTATTCTGTGGTTAATAACTGCTCTGCAAATGTAATTGGTTTGAAGGACCCTTAAAGTGTCTGGAAGACATACAAAACCAAAAAGAATATACCTCTTTTTTATCATTCCTTCAAACTGACAGCTTGTCTTGGACAACTGCTCCTTATCTTCACAGCTGAAGTGAAAAGGAATTTGAAACTGAATACAGCTTTCTAGTGTCAGCCAAAGGTACAAGGGCTATGGAAATTGATTCTCTTTACATCACTGCAAAACCAAGTAGCATTCCCAGCACGGAAAACAAACTATCTTTCAGCACCAGAAGAAAGGGGAAAAAAAAAATGAGCTTTAGCAGCTAGGAAATAAAATGGAACTGTCAAGAAAAGAAGGAAGCATATAATTCCTTGTGACTAACACAATATCAGGAGTGAAAAGTCCTCGTTCCCATGTTCCTGTAGTCATATACAGTACATGTACCAAGAAGGAATACACCATGTGACTTCTTCCCTGACAAACTTAAAGCACTGTCATCTGCAATGAGGTTGAACCAACACTTATGCTATTATTCTGATTGCTCATGGAATATTGCAGTATATTTTTTAAAATCCAAATACATTTTAAATGCATTTTTAGATGCAGGGGAAATATACATTTCAAATGTCAGCCAAGTACAGACAGAAAAGTTCCCCCTCCAGGGTTATTATTAATATTTTTGCATTTCAATAAAATGCTATCATAGTAATTGGAAGCCATACTTTGAACTTTTTGTAATTCTCTGTTCAAAGGTCTCACACATTTTATGAATAACAAGTATCCTCAGCTTTCCTATCAGAAGAAAAATAATTGAGACTTCCAATAGACATCTCTGCTTCCAGACTCAGGCATGAGAGATAAGTAGGTGATGACATATTTTGGTATTTGCAAAATAGATAAATAGCCCAACCCTTCATCTCACAGGACACAGAAAAATGAATACCTACATAGCAATCAAAACTATTAGAACAAAACCACAGCTGAAACTGCATTCACAGTATGTATGGTAAACACTCAGCATATCAACTTTTCATCATACATTAGAAAAGAGTGAGAAAATAAAATATTTAAAATCTCAATGTCAAGTGAGATAGAATCTCTTAAGAAATAGAGTGTAATCATGTTATCAATTGTAAGTCTGGCATTTCCAAATTCTGAGTAACCTCATATTATTTGAACATAATTTTCTAAGCGTAATTTCTCACATTTGAAAACAAATAGAAAAAATAGTGAAATTCCATATTGTCAATCATACGAGTCATCTGATATATTTCAAACTAGCATACAGAACTTCGTTACATGTATTAACTAATAAAGTGTTACTACTTGTCATTACATTTGTAAAAGAGAACTAAATGAAACACGTATTTCATGTCTTGTGAATGTACGTCTGCTCACACATTGTAAGCATGCATCCCTTAAACCTCTGTGCCCTTTCTAGTTTAAAATATCACTCTGTCATCTGCATCACTCATATGAGACAGAACACATTGCCTACACCAAATAACATCAGTTTGAGTTGTAATACATAATCAGGACTAATTACTCAACCATGACATAACAATTTTGTTTAGTTACGAAAATTATTGCAAGATTATTTTTGGAAGCAATTTATGCAGTTGTCTGCCTATTGATAATGGTTAAGGAATAACTTTTGACATAGATCCGAGAGTGAGGACTGAAGGTGATCTAGACAGCAGCACACCTTACAGTAGCTCACAATTAGTTTTCTGCTTTTTTAGAAGCTCGGATTATAGAAACAAATTCTATAAATGTTATGAATGAAGCACCATAAGAGCCATGATTCAATCACAACACGTAGTAACACTAGCAACATAACTGAAGTAAAAATATTTCCTTCTAGTCTTTAGCAGATCGTTCTGTTGTATCTATTCTGAATAAATCAACCCTCAACTTTATCATAGAACAACTCATCTGATTCTCAATTCATCTGAACAGAGACGAGTAGATTCAAACTATAATCTCATAGCAACCTGGCTATTTTCTTTCTCAAGATCACATACCAAAAACAACAAACAAACAAACACAGCCAACTAACTGAAGAATATTTATACTTTTTGACAAATAGACCATTCTAATGTAAAGGGAGTATATGCAGTAGTGGAAAACACCTGTGTTAAGACTCTAATTGGCCACTGATGCGCCCTGATTATTCTCACCTGGGTTAGCTTCCGCCCTAATCCTACAGTCATTGGTCCATGTGCCTTATTTAAGTTAATGTCTCAGTAGCTTGACTTTTCTTAAGGTACACCAGCCATTTACTTAGCTTCAGTTCTACCTCCTACCTAGTATACTAGTGAGCCTCTTAGATGAACCTTAGGCATGTATTATAAGTAGCTTGTGTTATGTACCATCTACTAAATGGGTCCTAGATTTAGTAGCTTACCTTGTCTATGCCTTCTCATGGTAACTGTTGTTGTTAGCAGCCTCACCCTGTGTAGGTGTTGCAGGAGTGTACCTTGGCTGATGAAGACCTAGCATCTCTTAAAGCTGCTGAAGACTCCATTTGCCTGTGGTTCATTTCAAGGTAAAACCTGAAATTAAAATGTGAAGCATTAGCTGAATTGTTGTGTTTTTGCAAAGTAAGTTTGGTCTCTCACTGTTCTAACAGCATCCTTTCTTTAAAAACTTTTGCTTGAGGTAACTTTGTCACTTCTGTGACAAAGCACTTAAAATCATAGATTCAGGTAAGTTGGAAAGGATGCTTCAAGGCTATCTAGTCTAGCTTCCCTGCAGTGAACTGGGACTCCTACAGCTTTATCAGGTCCAGCTTGACCTTGAATGTCTTCAGAGATGAGACATCTATCACCTACTTGCTCTAGCCTTTTTTACAGCTTGAAAAGACCAACCTCAGAACTGAGGACTGGGTCTGTGGAGGGGCTGTGTATACCTGCTGCTTTCTGTGGCCAAAGTGCACCCTGAGGCACATCTGATGGACACACAAATGCATCTCAAACTGAGCTCTCCCCACCTTTCTCTCACATATGGCTCTTTCCTCAACAGGGAATGCTGGCTGCCTGGGCACTGCTTCTTAAAAAATAGATAACAAAAAAAGTGTTATAAAACCACTGAAAGGAAGACCTCTGTGAGGCTGGCCTCTGAGAGAAACTAAGGATAATGTTACCCTCATCAAACCAAGGGACTCTGAGCTTACAGACGTATGGAGCTCCCTGAACGCCCTCCTCGATTTGGGACCGAGTGCTGAGGGAGAACCGAGCCATTCCGAGAGGCGCTGCCCTTCAGGCCGTCTCTGTCTGGGAGGAACGGACGGCGCCGGGCTCTTCGCTTCAGGACGCGTTTCCCGCCTTGCAGCGGTACCTGAGGAGCGCTGAGGGGCCGCCGCCCGCCCCACCCTCCGCCCGAGCTCCTCCCGCCGCATCCCCACCTCCCTCCTTCCCGTGTGCCGCCGGAGCCCAGGCGGCGGGCAGCCCCGCCACAGCGCGATGAGCTCCGAGTGCAGCAGCTACCTCAACGCCGACAGGGTGCTGGTGAGCGGCTTCAGCTGCCCGCGGGTGGGAGGCGATGCCCGCGCCGTGTACTGCTGCGGCTTCCAGGACGTCAAGTACTGCTGCGATGACCCCCACAGCTTCTTCCCCTACGAGCACAGCTACATGTGGTGGCTCAGGTAGGGAAGGCTGCTGTGGGGGCCTGGGACTTGTCTGTGGGTCTGTGTCTGAGGCACTTCGAGACTTCGTGTCCTCGAAGGCACTGGTAGAACTGCAGCTGCTGCTGAGAGAGTTCTCCTTACACCATGGTGGGTTTTGGGGGGCAGATCCTTTATTTCATACTGCATCCTGGGAGTTTTCTTCTTCCTAGTTTGCTTTTGCCCAGGGAGGTGGTGGGGTCACTGTCCCTGGAGGTGTTCAAGAACACTGATGTGCATGGAGGGGCATGGTAGGTGGAATGGTGGAGTTGGGGCATCCTGGAGCTGCTGCAATCATTTTAGTCACCTTATCTCCACAGTGCTGCTCTGGAGGTGCGCAGCCTAGAGCTGGATGCTCAAGGTGCAGGGTAAGGCAATGTTTTACACAGTGGCAAAATGATGCCTTCAGTCTTGGACTCAAAATCCTTCAGTTTGACAGCCAGCATCAGATGTCTGCGGACATCTGTGGTTCTTGATGCAGGTTGACACTGATTTTATTGAACTGTCACTCAAACTTTTCTCTGCAGTTCAGAACTGGCAGTTTTGAGTTGATGTAGGCTTGGCATTGTTTACTTTTAGCTACATTGTGTATGTTGAAGCTCATCCGTGTTGCTTTAGACCACTCGCTTGGTTTTCTGAGAGTAGTCTGGCACTCCTTGCCCTCATAGTATTTAATTGCTTGGAAAAGAGCTCAGGATCACTCAGATCTGCCTGTTGACATGCCCTGGACTCTATCAGGTTGGTGAGGTGGTACTATCCCCTTACGGCAATGCTGACTGCTTTACACAAGTTTGTGACTCAAAGCAACATCTTGAGAGCAGAAAATGTAAGAAGGTGGCTGCGGATGGCAGCCTCACCAGTAAGGGACCTGGCCCTTGATTCCAGGTGGAATAAGCAGTTCAGGTCTGGTTGTGGTGGGCTAGGGACAGTAGCTGGGGTCAGACACAACCCTGCAACTGCTGCACAAGACCACAGCTGTGGTGCATGCCTGAGGGCAAGCTGGAAAGTCAAGTGAGCAGTTCAAGGGCAGGTCTGGAGATGATGACCAGACAGACACAGCCCACTGACCCTGTCTGTGATCAAATTAGGAGGTAAATTTGTGAGCGAGTGTCTGGCTGAATGGATCTGTGGCCTGGTGCATGGTAAGAGCTTTACTTTAAAGTAGCTTGTTAGGGAAGAAGGAGCAGCCCTCGGAGCTCTCCCAAAGAGATCCAGCTGTGCAAGCCTGACCCTGAACATGAGCATCTGGGACCTTGATGCTGTATTTATCTCTTGACTTAATGGTCTTCACTAGTCTTTTTGTAGACTTTTGTCCTGTCCATGTGGAAGTCAGATGTACTTGTCTGTAGTTACTGGGTTCCCCTCTTGAGCCCTCTGTTAGGCTGGAGTTGCATTCCCAGTCCACCAGTCCTCTGGCAGTGGCCTTGTTTTCCATGCCTTGGCCAGCAGTCCTGCAAATTCATATAAGAATTTCTTCAGTGCTTTGCTATTCAGTGCTTTGTTTTGTCTGACACTGAATGTGAGTCTCCCAAGTATCCTCATTTGTGAAGAATGATACAGAATTGTTCAGCTTCCCTGCTGTGTGACTGACATCCGTAAATGTGCCTTTTACACTCTTCTCATCAAATAGCCATGTTGTTTCAACTTCAGATGGTATAATTTTTGGCCACAGGAATCCTTTTTAAGAGTAGAGAACAACAGAAAAATGAAATTTAAAAATTATGCTTCTGCACTAGGATTGGATAGTGCAGTGAAGGCAGATAAAGCATGATTTTCAGAACGTACCTCAAAGAACAAAATCCTGTGAAAGGCTTTAATGAAGCACCTCTTTGAAGATCTCATAGAGGTCTTCTAGCTTCTGAGAAGTGACTGCTAAGACTTTATTTGGGTCAGAACTTTGGACTATGATTTTGATACTTCAGTATTCATTTCTTATTTTCAGTACAGTGGTCCTAAGTTACTGTAGCTAAATCCTGCCATAACCATCCTATGTGAATTGAAGTGAATAAATGCAATTTACCTCTCTAAGCAAAGCCATTGAGTGGTTAGTGCTGAAAGCTGATGTCATAAGTGCTTTTCCAGTAACAAATCAAATGACAGTTTTCACTTAGAAGTTACACTGAAAGCTGTACAGTCTATTAGGACCTTGAAAAGTAAATATTTGCACATAGTGGTTCCATTAGGTGCTTAAAGAAAACATAAGTAATGGTTTTTTTTTCTTAAGTGATGTATTTTGGTGATCACTACCTTGCTTGACTTCAAACTGTTGCCTAAATCAGAATGTAACAACTACATAACTAATTAACTCTTCAAAGTAGTTCTAAATAAATCTCTAAATGATTCTTACAGCTTATGAGGACACAGACTTAAAACTTCAGGAATAAGTCACAGCCAGCTAAGATAAGCCCTTAGGCTAAAACTACTGAGAATGCGAAGGAAGCTGCAAGATCCTCTGGAGTAACTGTTGCAAGTTTTTCTTTACTCCACAGCTTGCAATTTCTCATCCTGCATCTCTTCCCCTGCTCGACTTTACCCATTAATTTGAAAGCAACGGCTGAAGGCATCACCAAGTGGTTGGTGCTATCTCGGGATTACTTCTGTTTCACACATGAGTTTGGTTTCTGGCAGCTATTGTGTACTTGTGTTTTTCCTGCTGTGGGAAACACGTTGCCAGACCACTTGGCAGCTAGCTCTGATGGAAGCAGTTCCCAAAGAAACCTTCCGCCTGGGCAAACTGAAGCAATTGTCTCTTACAGGCCTTTAGGGTTTTTTGTTGTTTTCTCCAAATCAATACTGTCTGGACGATGTTTAGAACTATATACTGCACTTTGTGAAAATGAGTCCTTTTCTCTGGCCGCTCCCACAAAAACTGGTCCTTGAAAATTGTTTTCTAACACTTGTACAAGGAGCTGCTGCACAATCAGAAAATGATCTTCAAGCAATATTGACATTTCATACTTTTAAACATTTTTATCTACAATGTTAGTAATTTCTTGGCTGTCCTTTCATTTGCTGGCACTTAAGATCAAATAACTTTTTTTTTTTTTTTTGATAGTGACCTAGGTTCCCTTTTCACCTTTCTGGATAGGCTGATCTCAGTGAAGAAAAGCAAAGGATGCTTTTTGAATCAAGCCGAACATGCATGGAGCAGGAAAGGGAACAAAAAGATGGGTGTGTAGAATTCAGAGAAGGTTATATAGCTTCTGAAACCACCAAAAAAACCCGACATCAACAGATGCTACAGAACACCAGGAGCAAAGCACTGAACAGCTTACCCTTCCTCTGTGTTTTACCTGCAGTCATTGAACATCTGCTTTACCTGTGAAACTGGGTGGAAAGGGAGATGAGCTGAGCAGGTGAAACTTGTACTGAGCTGTGATGCTGTTGCCTTTTTTTTTTTTTAAAAAAGTCTTAGAATTATTGTTACTCTTAATTAAGTTGTTTTTGCAAATGGTATGGCTTCTTTCATGATCAAACAGCATTACAATATCCATTTCAAGTCCTTGTATTTTTTAAGTTTCATATAGTATTATTTACTTTACTAAAACTCAGGCCGAGTGGAGATGCTGTTCAAGATGCAAAATTAACACTTGTAGAACCACAGTGCCCTTTTAATCTTGGCAGGCTTTGCTTAGCTGAGTAGATATTTGGGAGTTTGTTTTGATTTTCCAAAAAAGCAAGTCTTTTGCTTCTGTTTGCTGGTCTGTTGTTAATGTGTTGGCTTTGCAAGTATAACATACAGTGCATCACTGCAGCAATGGTATTATTGTAGAATCATAGAATGGCCTGGATTGAAAAGGACCACAATGAACAACTGGTCTCAACCCCCTCCTGCTACGTGCAGGTCACCAATCAGCAGACCAGGCTGCCCAGAGCCACATTCAGCCCGGCCCTGAATGCCTCCAGGGATGGGGCATCCACAGCCTCCTTGGGCAACCTGTTCCAGTGCCTCACAGCCCTCTGTGTGGAAAAACTTCCTCCTCATATCTAACCTAAACCTCCCCTGTCTCAGTTTAAAACCGTTCCCCCTTGTTCTATCACAATTTGCACAACAAATGAATTGGAAACTATCTGAGCTCAGCAACTGGAAGCAAGGTTTGCAGACCCTGAGTTAATGGCTCATTCACCACCAGGAGAGAAGGAGGATCAAATCTTCAGGCTTGGAGATCAGCCTGTGAGAACAGGAGCTGCAAACATTTGTTTCACTCAGATCCAGATGACTCATGAGGTTCCTTCTAATCTTTCAGTGGACGTACTGCATCTGCTTAGCCAATATTTAAATTGTTCCTGGCTGCTGTTGGTGTGGATGGATTAGTTTTAAGGGCTAAAAATAGCAGTAGGTGTCTGAGCCCCCACTGAAAGAGGTGTTGATGGCCTACAGCAGCAGAGGGAGCCCTGAAGCCTGCTGCTTCGGCTCATACAGCCTCTGGTTGTGCATGTGTGTAAGGGCTGTGTGCGAACACCTGGCACTGTGTAACAGCAGTCAGAGCTGAGATTTGTGGCATGCCCGCACTGTTGCTGTATGCAGTTTTCTTCTGTCAAGCTTACCATTGCTCATGTTCTAAGTTGTGTAAGTGCCATCTGGATTCCTCCCAGGACTCTGTAGCTGTTCTTATGCTAGATTATTGTTTTGAGGGTGGGTGGGTAGCTTATTAGTGCTACTGAGGCCACAGTTTTAGACAAGAGCAGCTTCTTAGTTTCAAACTAAATGTCTGTGCTACCAGAAGACTGATCTTGAAGATGCAACCTGTGGACTGCTGGGTGAACTTTAAGCATCCACTGCTTTAAGTAAAGATGTGATGATGGTGAAATGCTTTTAACAAAGCATTTCTAGATGGGTATGCAGCACCATAGTAATTCCTGTATAAGCCAGGGGACTTACTGAGGGGCTGTCTTTATTTTCCGGGAAAAGTAATCATTAAAATGATGGCTTTTTTGGTATTTGGAGAACTATCTTAAAATAAAATACCGCTGTCTTAAGATGCTTCAGTTCTCAGAGCTGTGGAAGGCATTATAAATTCCCAAGTTAATTCAATCTTTGAAAAAGCAACCCCTCCTCTCGAACTTTAACCCAGAATTAACCTTTAAGAAATGAATAATGCATTCTAAGAGGGCTGTTAGCTTCCCTACACAGAGAACAATCTGGTATTTTAAAAGTATGTTTAAAATCAGTACATACGAACTGTGTTTAATTTGGGTTGGTTTAGGAAGTGAAATCTAGAATTTTGTGGTGACAGTTTCCATGTTTTGGGTAAGATCTTCTCACATTGTTGCTGCATGTTAAACGTTTTCACTGGTGTGTAACCTGTTAAGCAACCTGCAAGTCTTTGACTTGTAGTAGGAAATATGGGAGAGTTCTCCAGTAGCTGCTTGTTTTTTCCTGTGCTTTGTGTGCTGTGAAAAGTAACTTGGACAAGTTCTGTAATGATAATGCTAGCATGTTGTGCTGTGTGATGCACAACTGTGCTGCTGTTATTTGAAAGGAATCTTAGATGAGGGCTCAGAAAAGCAAATTGTATGTTGTATTACAATTGACCCTTTATTTTGGCATGGAAGTTTTTTTGATTAGCGAAAGACTTGAACAGAAGGATTAGAAATAAGGAAGCTGCTAAAAACCATATGTATGTAGACATACCTTCTTGCTGAGTGACCATGGAAATAGTATAAAGCAGCTTTATCCTGCAGATGTAGTATTCTGGTAAAATCTGCTGATAAAGGTTACAAAGAGGAGCAACAATGATCACAGTACTTCTCCCTGTTCTACAGAGCTGCTGGCAGAACTGAAATGTGGCTTTCATCTGTTACCTTGTTTTTTTTATGAACGTATCAGCCTTGGAGAAGTCTGTTATGAAGGTGTACTTTACTTGAAGTTCTCTAGTTCGCCTTTCTTGCGATGAAGTGGCAGTTCAGACTGAAAATACTGCTTCAGTAGTCATGGTTGAGAAAGAAGAACTTATGCCAGTTGCCTGGAGCTCTGGCATCCCTGTGTGTGTCTTAGGAGCTTCTACATTGGTCAAAATCCTGTTCAGGAATTGCAAAGACTGGGAGAAGTTAATGTAAAAAAGGAAGAAAAAACCTGGCATTTTCTTGTTGAAATGCCTTGACTTCTTTTACTTGATACTTGTGAAGACTATTGCTAATTTTTTCAGTTTCTGCACAGATGAGAATGCTGCACAAAGGCTGTGCATGCTTTAAGCTATACTTTGAATGAGGAAACACAGCACGCACCCTTGAATTATCCAGTGGCTTATCTGGGAGTGTGCACTGCATTGGAGGAGATAGATACAAGTTACTGTATGAAGTTATTGCTGATTTTTGTAAACATTTAAATCGCAGTAAGGAGTAGGACACACAGACAACATGGAATGTCAAAGGACCTGGTGCTGAACCACTGTGTAATGACATTGGCCCTTTTGGGGACGATGAAGTAATGCTTTATATAGATATACATATCTATACATACACTAAGTACTGAGCTTTAAACTTGTGTACAGTAAAAACAGGCATTCCTATAACTGAGCACATGTAGCCTCCAGGCATAATTGTGATGTCTATTTTAATGGGTGCATGGATGTCATTTTAATGGGTCCAGCATGTTTGTACACTTAATTTGTTTGTTTTCTCTCTTAGCATTGGAGCGCTTGTGGGCCTGTCAATAGCAGCGGTGGTCCTGTTTGCTTTTATCATCACTGTGTGTGTTCTCTGTTATTTGTTCATCAGCACAAAGCCACACAGCAAACTGGATACTGGTTTAAGCCTACAGATGGCAGGTAAGGCCAGTTGTTATTGACATGCATTATCTCCTCCACAGTAAAAGCTTTATTTTGGCATCACATGTGGAAGAATCCAGCTACGTGTTTTCTCTCTGACATCTCTTCAAATGATGTTGCATTATCTTGCTGTTTTATTTACTGAATGAAATCAGTAGTGAACTCAAATGAAAATATTTAGCACAAGCTTCCTCCTTATTAGTAGAAAGGGTATAAAACTTGACAATACCTATTAAGGATGCAACAAATAAATCCCATTATCAGCAAGAGGCTGAATGGGTTATTTTAATTTCTTGTTTAAATGCATACATATATAATAATGCTTTCATTCTAGTGATAAGAAGCTCAAAAGAAATTTTAAATGCATTTTCTTGACAGGGAGGGATCATTCTTTTTTGTTCTATAACTTTGTTCTGAAACTGTGTGTGAGCAGGCACCTGCAGAAACACTGCATGTACCCTACTGGCACAGGAGAGCGACTGCTTCTGAATGCTTTAGCCAGTATTTGTGGCTTAGACTTGAAAGGTGACTGAAAGGTTTGTTTTTCCATTCTTTCCAAAGAGGACCTTCTTGGTGGTCAGTTGAATTAACATTTTTTTGGTAAAAGAATTAATAGATATGCAGATTAGCCAGTATAATACAGTATCTACCATCAACCATCATCACTCAATTTCAAAATTTTTGCTAGCTTTTAATGTGCTTCCATAACTGAATGGCAATAGATGATCAGTGAGTTATTGTAATTATAAGCTATTATATGATAGTAAGCACACAGTTGAGTGTCTAACTCAATCCACTTTATAATAAACTTCCTTGACCTTGCTTTGTTTTCCAGAGAATGCAGGTTTTGGTCTAAGAGCTCTTCATAGGGCTCTCAGGAAATGTAGAGTCTCTTGAAGCTCCGTAAGCTGAGCAGACGTCCAAAGTGAGAGTCACACATTCAGCAAGCTGCTACTAATCTGAGAATTGAAAACTTGACACTTACTCTGGAGAAAGGCAGAGGAAATAGGTCCTGCTACATAGAGAAGCCTAAATAAACTCTTAGGTGGGATGAACAAATTGTCTAGTGAACTTTTATAAGATGACTGTATTCTAATTATAAACTGACTTTATACTTTTGAATGCCTTACTATTCAGCATCTTCTCTCCAGTTTTCCTTTAACAGCATCAACTTTTAAGCCATTATCAGGACAGCAGTGCTGTTTTTCTCTTGGTCTGTTTTTGTGACAGACATATTTCACATGTGTTAGGCTGGGAAGGAGACAGGTGCTATTACACTGCTGCTGCCAAATGCTGCCATCTTTCCTTTTCAGACTTGACCTCTGTTGTGAAACCACATCCTGCTGTGGCATTACAGATCCTTCCTTTTTTCCCCAGTGATGATCCAGCATTCACATTCTGTCTTAGTTTCAGCTGTTAGGACTCAGGATGCTGAGATCTCTGCTTTTGCCTAAGTGCCTTTGGTGTTGTTTTGAGCTTTATTCAGATTGCAGTGTACTTGTCCTGTTTTCACCTATTATTCTTTTGTGACTGTTCTGAATGCTGATTATTTCTCATCCAAGTTCTGATAGTTCTAGCTGTTGATGAGGTAGGCTGCCAAAAGTTGAAAGCCTGCTTTGCCAAGGATGAGAGGTCTCTGAAAAACTTGAAGGATTTCACTGACAAGCCTGAACGCTTATCTTCATCACTTGGGTTCCTTTTGCATGGAAGTCATGCAAAATCTGAGTCCCTTACAGAACGGCTCGTTTCAGGCATAAGGAAGAATAAAAGCTCTCCTGCTCTTTCAGTTCTTTGATTTTTAGTGTAATCATCTGTAGGCAATAAAAACAAATTTTAGAAGCTTCAGAATGAGCCTTGGAATGAGAGTTTTACTTCTCATCCCAACCTTGCTTTTTCTGAACGAGAGTGATCTTGCCTCTAGGTGGTTTTGCTTTCCTTTTAACCATAAGCTTTTCTTTGTGTAAATGGTTTATCCCCTTCAGTATGTAGGGAACTATCCCTACATCCCTATATTGCAAGTGTTTTAAGGCTGAAGCATTCAGGGAAGATGAGGAGAACTGAGTAAAGATTTTATAGTTTTGGGAGAGGAGTGGGACCAGGAAGGTATACAGGCAAGAAAGTAGGAATCTTTCTGAAAAGCAAGGGTGGTATTTCTTTGCTGTGGAGAAGTATTGTGAGCCTTGTACCACACAATGCTTTGGTGTGACTATATGGAAGGTGCTGTGAAAGCAAAAGTGACCGATCATTTTTAGGAAGGAGTGAGGGTCTGAGAGTTCTGATCTACTTTCATGAATTGGAAGTTTTTCTTACAATTTCTTTTAGGAATCTGACTGCTTGATATGAGTCCTACTTACACCTCAGCACAGCTACCTTAAGTAACTCATCATCTTCATGCTTATTTTTCTAACACAAGTATGCTAGTAACTGCAGCCTCTCAGAGGCTCAGGAATGGAAAGTGGAATATTGTGGTTCATCTCATCCTCTAACGGTTGGGAAAGAAGATTCCAGGAATTGTTTTTTTTCTAGTGCAGTAATACATGTATCACTACTTGTAACTAAAGGAAGAATAATACCTTTTATTTTACTAAAAATGCTTTTGTTTTTTCAGATAGTGAAACTAGAGGGGGATCTATATGTTAAAAAAGTAGAGGTACTGGACGAATTCTACTAATGCTGTAAGGAAAAAGGTACAGTAAGAACATTTATTTTTACTTTATTGTATTTATACAGACCCTCTGTTCTGTATTGGCTGGTGCAGTATAGTGTTTGTTAAATACTGTGATTCCTCACATGAGTTTTTATCTTTCTGAAAATCACTAACAGAAGAGTGGGAGACCTTGAGTTGCATCCTCACAGACCTTATTACTGTCTCTACCCTATATACATGCATACTCCTTTGCAGAGATGAGACAGAGAAGATTACATTGCCTTGATGCTCTTCTTGCACAGGAAAGTATCTACAGAGACACTGGAAGAGTATTTCCAAAGAAATTGCTTCTTGATTACTTAAGCACAAATACCAGTTCATGATTGCATGCTAAAGAAGACTACATTCCCCTGATGCTGTCTGTCATTTTCATCATGCTGTCTGAGCTGCCCCAGACCTTACTAAGAAAACAGCCATTTTAAGTTACCATTCAAAAGAAATTCTTCAGGCATTAACTGGTAGAAGGACTCCTGTGTGACCAAAGGGAAGAGCAGTGAGATACTTGGTTGGTAGTTTAGTCATGTTCTGCTTCCTGGTGATGTTTCTTATGATTGCTGAATCCAGTCTGTAATAGAAATTAATAGGGTTACCACGCAAAAAAATGAAGCCTCATATACTGACTTGATTTCTATGCTAAAATCATATTTAAAGGTCAAACTGCCTTTGGCACAGATCATGCAAAATAGTATTTAAAATATACTGCAATACAGAAAAATTGTACTACAGACTTGAGAGGAATTAATGAATAATGCAGATGACTTCAGATGGCATGAAATGTCCATTTCCCTTTCTGCAAAAAAGTTGAAAACTTGAAAAAGCACCCATGGAATGTAAGAGTACATGCCATAGATCAGCATTATCTTTCACAGAAAACTAAGCAAGCCTGTTTGCTCAGCAATTGCTCTTAGATCAGTAGGAAAGTATATGTGTCAGTTCCCTGTTCTGTTTTTCTTATACCCTTCAAAAAAAAAAAAAATAGGCTGCCCTGTGCATTGTAAGTGCAATTGCATCCTTCTTAGAGCTCTTATCAGAAGAACAAGTTGCTTGTCCTCCTGCAAATACTCAAGAGTAATAAGACTAATTTTGAAATTTTGAATCCTTCCTACTTTCCTTCGCAAAATCAGGAAAAAGAAAAAAGCTGTGGAAAGACTTAAAATGATCCTGCAGCCATTTGTAGAGAGAAAATGCAAAAATATCTGACAAGGGTGCTGAGTACTGAGATGAGATCACAGTCAAGTCTGTGAAAGTGGCATTGTTTTCTGTAATGAGTCTCATTCCACTGCTCCTCAGTTTGCCTGCTTTCTACTATGTTATGGAGACCAGTGTTTACAAAGTGCCGTGAAATATAGCCTGCTACACACTGTTCCTTACAGGAGGGGAGGGACAGGACAAAATTAAAAGGCCAGCTGAAAAGGGGTTTGTTGTATGGTTTGAATGTATATATTATACGAAGACTAAAAACCTTGGAAGTTTTTATTGTGGATGAATCCTATAATTCTATTTTGTTGGCAGAATGAGACTGACTTTGTCATGAAGATTCAAAATGCTTGAGATATCTTTGCTGGGCTAAAACAAAGAAAACCACATTCTCAGCCTTCTTGCTTCGAGAACTAGGATAGAGCAGCTGGGGAACTTTCAGTGAAAGTGAGAAGAGGGCAAGATCTTTTTTGAGTTTTAGTGAACAATTAGGTTAAGGATTGGTTCTAATCGCTTTTTTTCTTGATCCTCTTTTCATGTTGTCTGTTTGCTGCAGATTTCATGTCTTCACTATTCAGTGATTGTCCATCAGTAGCTGCAAACCTTCAACTGTTGTGAGAAAGCCACACATGGCAGCTAAATGTGACATGCATACTTCTGCCAAATTGCATATTGGTGTTAATGACAGGACACCTACACTATTGCTGCTTGTGTAGCTTACCATAAGGGAAAGGAGAGGGGCCAGGGAGCTGAAGGCATTCCTTTAAACCTGTTATGATAAATAAATACACAGATTTCACAAAGACCGGTGGTAATAAGCCAGACTAATCTCTTTGTCAAGATAATTTTGCCTGTCAGGGAAGTGGGAACAAGTGGCTGTGACTACACATCTTCATGAAAATTAGTAGTTATTTCTTTGCATATAAATTTTTTAAATGTAATTTGGAATATTTTGTTATCCTTCAGGAATAGAGGTGTGCACATTGTATGCCTAGCTGAAAAAAAGAAATGCAGTTGAATATAAGTATTAGTGGTACATCTTTTCAAGAAGCACAGCACAGAAATGTTAAATGAACTACTTAGTTAAGTCTTTTTATTTTTCTTGTCTTATTCCAGCAACATTGTGTATGAAGTCTCTATCACATGCAGGAATAAATCCTCTGCTACAAAGCAAAGAAACAAAAGTAGATTTGTCTATCCGCTCCCAGAGGAGGCATTTAGTGTTCATAGCTGTAATAATTCCACTGAGGAGTATAATTCTTCTCATGATAAATATTAGGACTATAGTTGCTTGGAAGAGTAATCTCAGTGAAATGCAGTGACCTGTGTATTTGTTTGTAGGAATTCAACTCTGGTTTTCAGCTGAAGAAAATCTTCCCCTGTTCAGACTAATTCTTACCTGTGTTTGTTGTTTTGCAGATATGGAACTGCATCCTTCACATAGTGGCTACCAAAACAAGCTGTTGACAGAACCAAGTGGCTTCAAGAGATATTTCCTCAGACACAAGGATAGACTGTGGCCCACAAGAACCTCACCAACTTTTCCAGAGTTTTTTTCCTGGCTGCTGTAATTGCAGCTGATTACAAGATGTCAACCTGAGCTGTGCCAGGATATGCATTTCTGTATGATTACTGTACTGGGAAGTATATTTTAATTTGCATCAGCTACTGCTGCTAATTAGTTTCATGCAAATTGTTGTCCTATGCTGTGCAATTTCAGTGATATAACAGTTGTCAGGCAGAGCATAATTTGGTACACCCTGTTGACCAAGCATTGTTTGAAATTTTCTTTGTGTGCCGTCTTAATGTGATGTCTTTGCATTATTAGTATGACCTTTAATCAAGTGTGATGATTTGGTTCACAAACATGTGAATGCAGTTCCTCAATAAAATCTGGCATTCACCTGTGTTGTTTTTCTTAATTCATCACTGTCCTCAGCTTAGTCTCCTCAAAGTTATCATAGATCTTAAAATTATTGTGATGAGGAAATTCCTTAACAAAATGAAGTTCATAAAAGAAAGTCAGTCAAAGATCAGAAGGGAAAAAAAAAAATTGATTTTTGCCAGTTTTGCTGTCTGGTTTTCTTTGAGGATTCCAACCTTGAAATTCACATAAATATATCCTTAATTTTAAATCAGCAGTCAAATCCTTTTAAAACAAAAGAAATGATAGAAATTGCTTGAATTTCATACAAGCTTGAACTATAGGTCTTGTGATTTTTCAGTTATAAAGTAGTAAGATTTTGAACGTTGCAGACGTGATGAAAGACCTTAGTGACCTCAAGAGTGTTGTCTACAGATAACTGGTTCATATGACTGTACTTGTCTGTATAGTGCATGTGCACAACATCTCTGTAGAGAAAGAACCTATCCATGCATCTCCTAGGCCATAAGTCTCTCTCCAATATACTAAAATTTACATTTTAGTTACCTTATAGTTTTGCCACTTCTTTATAGCCTTCTCCTGTATTCCTATGCTTTTTTCCAATATGTATCTTTTACAAAAAACTGTTGAAGAGCCTTGCTTTACGTACAGAAGAGTACATTTTGATGGCAAGAGCAACACGAAGTTGAAATTTATTAGTGGAAACAATGTAAGCAAAAATAACTGCATAAAAATACCATTTTTTACAGCTGATGTTTCAGGATTCTCTAGCTGGTGAGACATAAGTTGTAGAAAACAACAGCTCCGTTTTCCCCTTGCTAAAAAAGAAGCTGGTGTGAATGGAAGGGCCACGGGACTGTTTTTGTCATTATCATGTTCTATCAACTCTGAGCTGTTACTGAGCCAGTCCAAGCAGCATCGCCTTGAGGACTTTGTGGGAGAAAACGGGCTAAAGGAGGCTCAGGATCTGTTGGCTGTGGATGGATGTCTGCACAGAGATATGGAGGTATTAATGGGCCAGGAATACGCTGTACTTCAAAAAGAGTGACCTCAAAGGACCTGGTGAAAGGGAAGTTCCTGCATTACTCCCCAGCAATGAGAATGTCTTGTTTGTTTCTTCTTTCAATTCCTCTTTTCCAACCCACTCAGTTTGAGCAGGCCCTAGTCTGGCTAAATCTGGTACAAGTAGTTTTGACGGTTGGAATTGGCCTCCTCAGCTCTGATTACTGTAAAATCTCTATCAGTTCCAAAAGGGCGTTCAGAAGTCAGCTTGCCCCCAGGAATAGAGAGGAAGGGGGAGGGGAGAGCAGGAAGATTATTTATGTTGTCAGTTCTCATGTTTTACATGATAGTCTGGATTCCAGAGATGGCACCTTAAGATGACTTGGCCCGTTGCTGTTATGCATCTCTGCATTCTCCCTCCGCTTTCATGCGGCATGTAGTCAATACCTTTCATATATACAGATGAAGAAAGAAGAGTACCAAAATGGCTTTGCAAGTAGTTTTCAAATCACTGTGGAAATCAGGCCATAGGTCAGAACCATCCTGCCTGAAGTTGTTGCTCAGCCCAAGGAGGAAAGCGCCATGTTCTTCATGCTCCTGATGGCTACTTGATTCTGAAAACAAATTTAAGTACCTTTCCTTTAATGAATGCATTGCAAAATGGAATCATTATTTTTCCCTAAATGCATCAACCACAGAAATTTCAGTAAATTGAATCTGCTCTTTCTACAACACTGAATCAAAATGTCAAACCACCACAACTCAATTATACGAGAGGAAATAAAGCAACAGGCTGAATACCAGTAAGTTATTTACGAAATACTTCAAATTGCTTCTGCCATAACTACCTGTGGGAAATGAGAATAGACAAGAGCATAGATTTGGATGTGGGTAAACTGACTCAGAGCAACTTGTCTGCAAAGTTATAGAATTAAGATTTTCACTCCTCCTGAGCTTTACAGATCAGTTGCTCCCTTTGGTCTGTTACTGTTCTTACATAGAACTCACATATTTTCTTTAGAAAATGTTTTAGTTGAGAAGCTAGGGGAGAGAAAGAAAGTCAGAACTCATGTACTCGGGTTTTAAAACAGGTAGAGGGACTTGTTATTTTTAAAATGTCCTTTTGTTCTGTACATTGCCATCCTTAAAAAGAAATATATCAATCATCCCCAAATCCACAGTGGAGACAGTATTGCAGGTGAAGCATTTTTCTTTGTGTTTTTTAAAAGATAAAAATGCCTTATTTTACTGATGCTGAGGTGCAGTAACTATAACGTTGCATGAGGTCAGATCTTTGATTCATGATTTATTTATGAGGGATGCAGCAAACTCAATTTCTGTACAGCTACTGTGAGTGACATGCAAGTGTTTTCCCTCAAGTTCTGATGGGTTTTGGAGTTTGAAGTCTTGGATCTAGCTCTTCACTTTGTTGCTGCTGGATGGCAGTTGTGAAGATCCCTCCAGTACATCACAGCTGTAGAGCTTGCTCCACTTGAGGATAATAATGTTCCTTGCAGATTATCTACTGGTACTGTTTTGTATTTATCAGGTAGGCAACAGTAAATGATATGAGGAGCTGAAGGGTTCTTGGTAGTAATTTGGTAGCATTTCAGTAAAGTAATTTTCTAGTTTACTCAGAAGATTACAGTATCTTAAAAACAAAACAACAAAAGTGGTTTCACTGAGCAGTCACTTTGTAGTGTTAGTCATGGGATGTGTGGAATAATGCTTTTACTCACCAAGTAATTGCTAAATGTGAGCCAGCTAAAACAAAAAATGTCATAGAACATTACATTTCATCTATCTGCATATGTATGTTTTCTGGAATAGCATGAGAAAGCGTAAAATGTTCCAGGACTGAGAGTAATGAAAGTGCAGAACTCTGTTCCAGTGATACAGTGGGACTAAATTGAATATCTCAAGTGCAACTTCAAGATTTAAACACTTGTGGAAAGAATTTCCTGGCAAATTGTTGAGCTGCATTTGAACGATGTTCTGTATCTACCACTAATCCCACACAGTAACATACAGGAAAAGGGAAATAAAGGAGAAAAAAGTATATATGTATTAGAAAAGAGCAGTGGAGGACTGCTTCTAAAGGAGAGACAAGATAACAGGAAAGCCTGTTGAAGGCATTACATATTGGTTTGTCTGGTTGTTTACAGCAGTGATACAATCTGTAGAACTGTGTTGGTGTCCTGTCAAGAAACTGGGTAATAGACACCTAGGTTCAGCTTTATCACTATGATTCAGGCTGCTGGGATAAAGCTGTGAGGTGCAATGCCAGTGGTACACCAGCTGTTTTTCTGAAATGTTTGAAAAGCACATAAAGAGGAAAAGAAAGACCAGATGGGAGACAAACGGTTCTGCACTCAGAGATCACGGGGCAGTACAGATTGCTTTCTTATCCTTGTGCAACTGCCCAAGCTCACGCTATCGTTGTCAGTAAAGCTTGCATTAGAGTCATTCTTGTGACATTTGTCTAACAGTAGATCATGACAGCATGACAAGTGTTTGCAACCAAACATTCACCCACTTCTGTGCTTTTTCTGGTTTTTATCTTGCCAACAGAAATGTGAGAGAATTTAGGTGAAGTTATTTCCAATCTTGCATTTTTCTTTTTTTTTTTTTTCTTTTTTTTTTTTTTTCCTTGCTTGTTTCTGCTTTAAGAGAGGACAACAGTTGTGCAAATTTCCAGTCCCACAATAGAAGATGATTCAGGAAAAGTGCTTAGCACTTTGTCTTCTGGCTCATCTCCCCTAACACTTACACTTCTCTACTTTGTCCTTCCCTTTCAGGAACACCATGTTCAGTTCAGTATTCAAAACTGCAGGGTTTGTGTGGAAAACATTATACTAGGTAAGTTTCAGAATCTGAACTCAGAATCTGAATTTATTTAAGGTAAGTCTTGAAACCAATTTGAGATCTGAGCGTTTTAACAAATATGTGGGTAACACATTGTATGGAACTGCTGAGTCACAGCCTGAACCACTGATTGAGCACCTGGGGAAAGGACTGGCTCAGCCTTGGATGCACAGATGAAGGCAATTCAACTGTGTGACCAGAAGGGGGTGGAGCCTGGCTGCACCTCCCTTAGACCTCATTTAAGGCTGACTGCCACTGGGAAAGGATCTCTGTTTGGAGATCTCTTCCTTGTGGGCTTTTCGCTGGGGCCTTGATATTCAGAGATAGGTAAGTGCTTTTCCTTTGTAACACTGTTCCATTTGTACTAGTCTCTTTGTTACTACAGTCCTGTATCACTATTCCAGCACACTGACTTTTCTGGTTGAAACGCACGTAGACTTTCCAGTCTAATGACTACAACAAATTGGATCCTACATTATCAAACACATATAGTAGCCTTTTATAGAATGAGTTTTTAGGAGCCAGGAGTGCTGTATGTGCTTAAGGGAACTAGAGGAAAACACTCAGCAGCACTTGTTTCTCTGCCAGTTAAGGAGCAGATTTACAGCATTGTTGAGCATAAATTAAACTTGAGAATTGGATCAATGCTTGTCCGTTATTTTGTGCTAGTTAGGAGCATAAGTTTATGCTATCTAAAATATATACATCCTATTGTAACAATGTTTTTGCTTTAAACATTGTTTCCTTATTTTAGGAAATACAGTTGTTTCATGGTGCAGTTTATGTTATTAGAAGCAATTTAAACGTAATCGTATTGCTCTGTAGAATTTATTTAATATGCTTCTAATTACCAAGAATGTTGTTGGATTTTACACTAATTTCAGTTTCAAAACATGAAAACTTTAGACATAGAAATCTTTAATGTCCTATTAGCTCTAAAGCTGTTAGCTCTTTGTGTTAGCAGCTTTATGAAATATTCGGTTCGTATTGAAGTGATCACTTCTTACCTCATTGCTACTGCTGTGATGCTGTTCCCAAGAACTCTGAACATCATATCCTGAAACTTAAGAGTGCTATCAGACAGGACTCTAAGCATTTCTTATTCTTCTGCTGTTTACATTGGTCGTGCGCTCATGTCTTCAAAATTCTTT